CGCTTTCGCATTCGCAATAATCAATGCGGAGCTTTTGCGAATGCGAATATTGTGCAAGTGCCCCAAAAAATATATCAAAACACATTGAGCGCATGGAATGGAACAACAAAACGGATTTGATGGCTTATGGTACCGACGGCGGTGAGTAATTAATTGTAACTGCCTGAAACTAGGAAAAGCCATGCTAAGCTAACTAATAAAAAAAACTAATTACAAGCTATTCATTGCAGGTGAACCTTTCCAAAAGGTCACCCGGGAATTAAGCAAATCTGAGGCCTTTATCGTCCGTGATTCCAATAATTGAAATTATTATAAAAAACGGGGTACCTTTTTAACAAAATCACAAGATTTTAAACTAATTCTGCTGGCAGCCACGACTTTTAAAACAGAATTTTCTTAGAAATTTTCATTCGTATAAAATAACAATTTATTAGCCATATCCACCTTTTCACAATGTCGCGACGCTATAAGCACATATTTTTCAAACCAGTCACAGAAGACAGGATTAAAAATGAATTACAAAAACTTAAATCGAAAAACGCTGTTGTCGTAACAGGTTCTCCAAATTCTGAAACAACCAAAATAATTGGTTCTCCAAATTGGAACACAACGGTGTTTAAACAGCAATATTGCCATGATGGTACATTGTGAAGATGAAAGTCAGGAGGATACATCNGCAACTAGGAAAAGCCAAGCTAAGCTAACTAATAAAAAAAACTAATTACAAGCTATTCATTGCAGGTGAACCTTTCGAAGAGGTCACACGGGAATTAAGCAAATCTGAGACCTTTATCGTCCATGATTCCAATAATTGAAATTATTATAAAAAAACGGGGTACCTTTTTAACAAAATAACAAGATTTTAAACTAATTCTGCTGGCAGCCACGACTTTCAAAACAGAATTTTCTTCGAAATTTTCATTCCTACAAAATAACAATTTATTAGCCATATCCATTAATTCACAACGTCGCGACGCTATACGCACACATTTTTCAAACCAGTCACAAAAGACAGAATTAAAAATGAATTACGAAAACTAAAATCGAAAAACGCTGATGACGAAACAGGTTCTCCAAATTCTGAAACAACCAAAAGAATTGGTTCTCCAAATTTGAACACAACGGTGTTTAAACAGCGATCTTGTCATGATGCTAGATTGTGAAGATGAAAGTCAGGAGGATACATACGACATTTGCAGCCCCGATGCAATTCTCGAATTTACAATTTTGTAAAGTTTCAAGTTTTTCAAGTTTGTCGCCTCGCTCGAGAAGTTATTTAATGGCGCAGGTTTGATTTACGACCCGCTAGGAAATTACTTTTTCTTAAATACAATGTTTTAATTTTTTAATTTAAGTACTAAATAAAAATATATAAAAAATTGATGTATTNTTAATTTTTTAATTTAAGTACTAAATAAAAATATATAAAAAATTGATGTATTTTGGAACGAATTTCCGTCATCCCTTGTCAAATTTGGTTTGGAGACAAACCGGTTTCGGCGTTGTGTCATTTTTCGTTCTCCGGGAACGCAAATGACGGATGACGGAAATTCGTTCCAAAATACATCATACACCCACTCTGTCGGAAACAACAACCAAAAAGGAAATATAAAAAATTACTAAATTTTCCATTTTTTATTTACCTAAATCAATGTATTTACCTAACCCAATGTACTCACCAAAAAATATTTCTTAAAATACAGTGAAACCTCTCATAGACGGACGGTTTTTTTTTTCATACAAAATGCCCTTCCATACATGGACTTTCCGATAAACGGAGGCGGACACTCAAAAATGTCCAGTTATGAAAAAAACTCTCCCATAAGCGGATGCGAAGCTCTAACAAGCAGTAAATTTTCATTGGTTTTCAGTCAAATATTGACTCTTGCGCTTCTACATATTTATATGTACACAAGAACATAGTCCATATTCAAAAATATTTTATTTTCTAGAAAAAGTGTTGCCTTCTCGTTTCCAATGGGCAATGAGATTTGTCGCCATAAATTTGAATTTATTTTTAATTCACCCTGTT